ACTCCTGGACATAGCTTTAGAGCATCAATCTGGGCACATCCAGAGGAGGTAATCACTCATCTGAAGCAAAATTACTTGGTGATTTATGGAAACTTAGAAAACTGACAGCCTGTCACAACAGTCTCTGTTAGGAAAGATGAGTAGGAAAAGGCTGTTGTATTTTTATTATTTTAAGTAACTGATGAGTTAATTAAAATGGTAATTAATATCCTGTTGCTGCAAAACATATCCCTTGGCATATCCCATGTCAATTCTGCTGGGAGTAGGTTTTGCAATCAAAAGTCATTCACGCATATGTTATTTGGTTTAGAACCTTAAATTTTCAGCAAACCATCTGAGATTTCTTCTTCTTTTTCTCTATGTGGCAATGGCGGGGCTTTTTTTTTTTTTAATATTGCAGAGCTGAGGGAGGCACTGATTTCAAGACCCTCAAAAGGTACATGCACTATGAAAGAGAGAGATCTTCAGCATATCAATGTTAACATATTTATCAGCCAGAAAAAAACACCTTGGGCTGATCTGGGCCAGGAGAAGTAGCATGAGTGGCATTTTACAGGAGATGCTGTCTAACCAGCCCTGCGCATTGCTGTCATTTTCACATGGAAGAGCCGAATGAATCAGTTTCTGGATGGCTCTGTAACTCTGACAGCCGTCACCTAAAAAAGAGCTGAGTGGAAAATGGACAGAAAAAAAAAGATATTTTTTTTAAAAAAAATTGGGCTTTATCTACTAAAGTTATGTAAGCCAAGGAAATATTTTGTTCTACTGTGAGAGCTCATGAGAGCATTCCTTAAATACTAACTGAACTGCAGCAAGTTTCAAGTGCCTAGATATGCATATTAAATTTTTACCTCTTCCCTCCCATCTGCCGACTGCTCCACTGTCGTATTTTTTCCCCTTCTCCTGCAAAGCGCGGAGCTGGGGAAACAACCAACGCTTAATCGTGCCCCTGCCATTGAGCAACAGAAAAAGATTGATGGGGAGGTTAATAAGTTGACTGGGCGATTATAAGGCTTACCATGTGCCACCTATGATGGTTAATGCAGTTATTTCCTGCTCTGATCATTTCACTGCGTGTTCCAGTCAGCTCTGGAGCCAGGCTCTCGGCTCTCTGCCTTGCAGCTTGACAGCGCGCAGCGACAGGGCGCGTGGCTGTCAGCCCCCTTTGCTGCGCTGTGTGTTTGTACGAACTCCTTGACTCCCATTGCACTTAGGAAGGGCAGCTGAAGTTCTGCTAATGAGAAAGGGATTAGATGAGGTTGGGGTTTTTTTTTTGGTTTTTTTTTTTTTTGTGCTGCGCTTTTCAAGATGTGCAAATGACTGTGAAGTAATCAGGAATTCATTAAAGCTGAGGACAGTGAGTGGTATTTTTCCCCCGTGTGCAAGGGCAATTTTTTTAATTGCCTTTTTTCTCAGCACACACTTCACACCTATCATAGTGGTCTCAGTAAAGGCAAACTCTCTTCTGTCTTGAGTCTTGGTGTGAGCTAAGAGTAGATGTCTTGACAGGTATCAGTACCTGACTGATACCTGACATTCTGGATAAATATTGCCAAAATTGGTGAATGGCATAAATTAATCAATACTAAAACCTTTCCGCTGTCCTGTGAACAAGCACTCTTGCCACAGATATGATCTTTGCTAGAATATAGGAGTGACGGCTGCAAATATGCACTGGGAGCATCAGAGAGTAATGATTTTGGTACAGAACTGTTGTCCAGATAGCCAATATTCCATCTGCTTTAATGATTAAGAATGAGTATGTCAAAGCTGCATAAACTGCCCTTGGTGTAGCTGATTGTATGTTGCTTTTCAGAGAAGCAAGCTGTGGATTTCAGCCTATTTGTTTAGAAAACATTTAAGTCAGCAGAGCTTATGGCACAGAGATTGTTGGTGGGACCAAGGTACAAATTTCTGAGCAAGCAGCTGGCTGCCGTTTGTTTCTGTAGTGCACATTTGTAGAAATAAATAAGGTGGCATCAAAGAGTGTAGCCAGTTTCTGCCAAGGCTTTCTCCTCTTAATGGGGAAAATCTAGGAAAGCTCTCAATATTGATTAGCTGGTTTGGCCAAAGAGTTACAATATCAAGGCAATTTACCTTCATTAACCCAGGCATGCATGTTTCAGAGGATATTAACCAGGTGTTCTGGCTTTATAGGTCCTTCTTGTATGGGCAATTTTATCTTGTATGAACAAGAAACCCTGAAGCTAGAGGTTTGAGGGAAAGCTCAATACTCTAATGGTACCATAAAGTCAGGGAGCAAAACTGGAAGACTGAGAGCATAAATAATTGCTGCTGCTCCACAGAAAACAGATGTGGCAAGGAAAAAAAACCTTTAAGGCCATCACACTTGGAAAAGGAACAAGCAGTGTAATTGCTGGGGTGACAAATAACCACCTAGCGTAGACAAATAGTCCCAAGCAGGGATTTACCTGCAGCAGTCTCAGGTGAAACTCCCCACTAAAGAATTATTCATGGCAATGAGCTGATGTAGCAAACTCTTTATCTGGTCAACACAGACTCTGCCTTCATTAGCAGACAATTTTTCTTGGGAACATAGTTATGCTAATGGGGACTTTGAGAGGGATAACACAGAAAGCCATCCGTGTCTATGATAAGAAGCAGGAGATTTGGGCCCATGCTAAGGAGCGGTGAAGTTGCCCTCACAGCTTTAGTCTCCAGTCCTGTTATCTAGTTAACACCTTTCAATCACTGCTAATTGTCATTGCAGAGCTTGGCAGCAGTGACGAAAATTAGAAAACCAGTTCAGCTGGGATATGTATTTAGCAAGAATTAAATGTTTCGAGAACCAGAAGAAGTGAACCCATCCAGCACAGAAATAATCTGCGAAGGAGAGGACAGCTGTTAATGAGCTGTTTAAGCCAGCCAAAACTTCCTTATTTAGTGACTCAAATACCACTGTAAATGTGAAATTAATTTAACTGCTTCAGATGCTAGCTCTTCCTTGTCTTCATCTCCTACAATATCAGCACTGGCCTGGGTGAGCTGAGGGGCTTGGCTTTCCCTATGTGGCATTAAAAAAAAAAAAAAAAAAAAAAGATATTTGTGTGGATTCAAAGGAGTAATCAATTTGGAATGAGAGCTCAGTCACTGGCAGCATCATCACTGGGTGTAACCTTTCAGACCGCTCTGCTCTCTGTGCTCAGACCCATCCTTCAGTGAGACAATTTTCTCTGAAATGTATTGGGTGATTTTTATTATTTTCTATTTCTGGGGACAGCACTCAGCTGTTTAAATTTTGCTCCACATACCCATTCACCAGGCTATTTGACAATGAAAAACGTGTTTTTTTTGTCTTACTACAACTAAACACTTTCATGTTTTGGTGCCTCTTTTGTTAGTAAACAATGGTGTCTCATAAAATGTAGGAATCAAGATTTCCTAGCCATGCTGGCTAACTTTATAAAAATGTGCCTGGTCCAGTGGTGATCCTCCCAAGAAACCCCAGTTTTCATTAAGGACTGGGTAACAGCCTGTAAAAAGCAAGGACTTTATTTACAAAGAATCCATATGTTGTACTGTATTGGTTGTGTGGGGTCTGGTATGGGGATTGCTGTGTGATTACAGGTTCTGTTGCTTCCATCTGTGATTTATTTTAAAGATAATACTTACTGAGACAAACCCAGCTCCTTTGAGCACACAGACTTGATGAGAGGTTCATTTGTGCACTTTACAGCTCAGTATGAATCGTGGCACCGATGCATGTAAGAACCTGTGCTATGTATTTACCGTTTCCAAGGGGAACCTGATTAGCCATCCCCCAAAAAGTTATCCTCCTTTTGATGCAGAGCCTGTAGCACCTAGGTGTGTCATTGTAGCATCCCAGCAGGACTGTCTCTGTGCTGGCACACGAATAATTTAAAGAATCATAGAATGCTTTGGGTTGGAAGGGACCCCTAGAGGTCACCTAGTCCAACCCCCCTGAAGTGAGCAGGGACACCGCTAACTAGATCAGGTTGCTTTGGAGTATGTTCAGTATTGGCCTCTCTCCCTCTTGAGGCAACTGAGCAGGACTTTAGCCACGAGCTTTATCTCCTACTGTACTTCAGCACATATTCATTTTACAGCCTGAGAGAGATCTTGTTTTGGTAAAAACACAGACTGGTGATGGGGTTCAGCGCTAAGCTCTGGAAAGCAACTGCAGAGAATTTGATTAATTCCTTGACTGGACAATAGACTCAGCTGCAGGCTCCAGACACATCATTCAGGGTCTAATTCTGTCATCCATTCATAGGTGTCTTGTGCCGGTCAAGATACCCCAGTGCATTTGAGCCCTCCAAATGGAACTGACAAATATGATGTAGAGCTTTGCCCTCCTGGTATGGATGCAAGAGGTCAGGTGGATACCGACATGCAATTTATCTGTCTACAGTGCAGGCACCCACTTGTGAGGAGGACACCCTAGGATGTTTTAACAGCCCACAGCCAGCGGACTCAATGGAATCAGTGGGTTTAGGGTAAGATCCACCTCAACTGTCTCCCATATAGATACAACTAAAAATCCTTTGTCTGTATGACTAGCTTTTCCCTGACTGTTATGGACATCAGGCAACTAGCTTAGATGCATATAATCCCACCTGAAGGCATCTAAAGGTGAGAAGAACCTACTCAATCTCCTTATGCCTTTGTTTTCAGCCAAAAAGTGTGGACAGTGTTGCCTCCTTTCCCCATAACTCCCTATGTAAATCTATGTTCTAAATCCTCTCAGTCAGGTGTTTGTTCTCACCCCTTTCTACAGGTAAGTGGCATAGCAGAGTGGTGGCCAACAGCTACTACGTGTGGAGATCCAGAAGTTAATCACGTCTGGGCGTGGAGAGATGCTGGCACCATTTGTTAAAATGTAGGAGTTTGAATCTTATAGAAACATCACACCAGAAAATAATCACACTTCTTCTAAAAAAAATTAAACCCTTTTTATTTGTATATTTATTTTTATATATAAAAGAAATACAAAAAAAAGAACACAAACAAAATGCTGATTATGGCAATTCAGTTTTTTCAGCCCCCTCTGCCTGGGATGCTGCCTCAGATCCACCAGGAGTGAGCAAAGTCCTCCGGTTGTAATGTCCTTTTATGATTCCAGAGTTATTGTTCTCATTAAGGATTTGCTTCTGTTTTTGCCTGTTAAGAGACTGTACAAGTCCTAATACAACAGCTGCTAATGAATACTGTCCAGTCAGTTTTCTTGGTTGTAAGATTAAAGGATTTGGTTGAACTCTTCCTAGAAGAAAATATGTTTTGATTTTTCCTTCCTGTTCACTGATACCTTTGACATAAATCTCTCCTCGGTAGTCGAAGGCAAATCCTCGGTCCTTCAGGATCAGATACGTTTCTTCAGGCACTTGTATTCTGTCACTAACACCTGTGCTGTCCATTCGACTTGCTAAATTAACCGTTTTGCCCCAGATGTCATATTGGGGTTTCTTAGCACCGATAACTCCTGCTACAACAGAGCCATGGCTAATCCCTATTAAAAAAAAAAAAAAAAAATGAGAAGAGCTAGCCCGTTAGACAAGAATGGCTGAAAACCGTATTTGCACCTAAGTACCAGATGAAGCCGGGTTCAGATACACTTATCTCTAAGCTTATTGAAGAGGTGTATATACAAAGTAAGTAAGAAAAAAGGCCAGAAAAGCTAGAAAAAAATGAAAAGTTATATCCTTATATCCACAGAGTTATTTTAGAGGCCGTCCATCTCAGTGGAACCACAGTACTTACGTATCAGCTGCATTCTGTGCACTATTGCCCAAGCTCTTGCAAACTGATTCTTATGTAGTAGGAAAGATCTCTCTGGAAGGATCTTTCTGGGGCTACACTTGTTGAAGGCAGCCTTGTTAGTACTATACAGACAAGAAATTACATTCTTATGTTCCTTGAAGTGAAAATATTAAATTATTCGACGGAGTTATTGAGAGGCTGTATCTGGTAAGATTGTTGCATAAATTCAAGACAAGCAATAATATTTTTTTCTACAGCAGCTATTTAGGAATATATTTAGTGATAGTGAAGGGCACATCTTTGGGAAAATGTTCTTAGTTTTTAAATTTTTTTTTTAAAGAATATTTTTTTTAATTGGTGATAGAAATTGTTTCCAAATACTGTTGCAAGTGATCCATGCTTACTAGGAGTGGATGAATATTCCCTGAGAAATCCTGGGAACTGGATTTTTCTGTTCAAAACTGTGAGGAGTGCAGATCACTGATAGTGGTGCTGCAACCCTCCATGTTGTGACTGATGAACATACTCCAGCTTTTTTATGGCAGGGTTGTCTGTAAGGACATGCTTCTTCTGGGTGGTTTTTGGTTTTGGCCAGTGATCCTGTCAGTATGGGAAGCCATCAGATTTGGTCCTTCCACGTGCCATATATTCAGGCCATCTTTACATGTCCCATCCTACTAGTCATTCAGGATATCCCATCCAGCATAATAGGTTCCCCATCACAGCAATTCAGAGCTGCTGCCACTGGGACAGGTCAGGTCAGAACTGGAATTCAGTTTTTGTGCAAAACCGAAGTACCACACACAGGGTTTAGGATAAGCTACTATTACTCCTTTACTGAACAAAAATCTAAGACAGAGAGATTAGTTAGAGACTGTACAAGCCAGTAACAAGCTTGGAGTTAGGTCTGGGCTGCCCAGTTCACTTTTATTGTTATATCTATGGGCTCTGGGTTAGACTTGCTAAAGACAGTAGCTTAATTATGTATTCCCATTTCACTAAACCTTAGAACTTCTGCAGTCCCCAAATCAGGGCCCATATTCTGCAGACAGAGTATTTCATCTTTCTAAATTTATCTGGGATGAAGTCAATTTGAGAACAGGGGGTACAGTGTTTGTAGTCTTTTAAATTGTACATGTCCTTGCAATGCTCCTGCTGCAACACTTACAGAGTCGGATCATTGCAGAAAAAAACACGTTTTAGTTCTCATGTTTGAACTATGCTTACCAATACGGAGTTCAAAGTTGTTAAATGAATGCTTGTTGATCTCCTGTATGCTTTCATTCAGAGCTATGGAGAAGTCAGCCAGAGCACACAAATGCCCCCATTTGTCTTCGCATTGCTGAGGAGTAAGTTATAAATCAAAATGTTAGAAAAGTTTTGCATTTGCCCAACTCACACCCATCCCCACCAAGTTCCAAGTACTTGAATTTGCAATTTGTAAGAACATCTCAACATACCAGATCCAAGAGAGGTAAGGTATTATTAATGGTAATGCTTCCCATTTATATTGCAACACTTCTATACCTGGATACAGAGAAGCTTAGCGTGAAGTGCCAAAGAAAGTGATTTCCTGTCAGTAATCTTACAGGCAATCATGGGAATTAATAAGGCATGTGAAATCCATCTAAGGCTGAGACAGAAAGTTAGAGACTATTGAGATACCTAAGGTGCAAGGGACAGAAACTACCGAGAACGAGGGATGACCCAGGTAAGCAAGAAGTAGAGCAGAAGAAGTGAAAGACATAATTCTCCTTTGCTGAAACTGTCACCCAGGAAAAGCACCAACTCCAGTGCTTTCAGGGATGGAATGGTTACAGGACCAACAGGGCAACTCAGGAAACCTGGGACCAGTTAAGTGGGAGGGAAAAGCTTGTTCTGTAGCTTATTAGTTGGCTCTGCTTAGAGCAGCCAAGTTACTCCCTGCTCCTTCCCCTCTGTTTCTGTTCCTACAGGGCGGTTGATATACAGATGGGGACCAGGAGTGGGTTTTGGTCTTCCCAGAACACCAATAGAGCAGACAGTGGCACAGGGACTCTCAAAGGAGGACAGCGAACTCCTTAATTGTTTCTCTGAGTAGGAGGTGGAGTAAGGAACAGCCGTGATTTTGGCCCGATAGCAGTATGATGTCATCTCATCTATTCTGAAGCCAGGTAATTCTTTCATCAAAAAATTTTCCGGTCCATAGGAACAAAACATTGCAAGCAAGCCCCACCCCCGGGTCATGCAGTCCATCCCGTTGCAATTTTCATCATCCTCAGAGTTTAATACTGAACATAGGCATTTCCCTGGCATCACCCTGTTCCGTTCACACTGTGCTCGGTCCTTGTCCTCAGCCTCATTCAGTTCACAGCATGCCAACCTCCCTCAGCAGCCCTCACCTCTTAGATGCTGACAAGGTGACAGTCATGTATGTATGAAGATAAGTATGAATAAAGACATAAAATACATAAATACATGAAAATTCCATTAGGCTATTATAGTTCAAGGAAAAGGATGAGTTAATCAGTCCTGGAAATGCAATAAAGATTTTCTCCTTTTGAATTTTTACCCACATCAAGGGTCAAAACAAGTGGTTAGGAGCTGCGTAACTATAACCAGCTACCTTCCTGATGTTCATTCCTTCTTTGCTCATCTCTGAACATAAGCATCTCCTACATGTCTAGTTTTGTGGATTTCTAGCTGTCAGCATCACTTGTTACCCTGTAGGTGGGAGATGCTCAGCTTGTTACACTCCACATGTTTTATAATGTCTTCTAAACAAACAATGGAAATTTTCTCGTTTATAAAGCTCACGCTAATCTGGCTTCTGCTTTCCTGGCAGCTGCAATCAACGTGGGCAGATCTGATTCCCACTCTGTGGTTGATCTGGGACAGCACACTCTTTTTTGTGGTGCTCTTCCCTGGGGAAAGGCACCGGTTGCCAAGCAAGACAGATTTCATTAACAGCTAACTTCTCGCTGGATGTATTTTAGAGCCTCATCTTATTCCTTTGGAGACCCCATTTCCAGGCACATGCTTGGGTGTAATTAGGAATGCATTTCTCTCATCTGATTTATCTGAAGTTTATGGCTGTGACTCTGTCTCCTCTGTGGTTCGTTTTTCCCTCAGCTTGGTTTGCACTCTGCAAGTGAGGGCAGTGTGCAGGACTTGATGATCTTAAAGCTCTTTCTATGATTCTATGACTTCTGGCTTTGTGATGTTCTTCCGTTGAACTGATGGGTCTGCTTTCTTTTTGATGTACAGTTTATCATGCTGTCTGTAGACATACAGCTACATCATAACCAAAATATATAAAAGCAACCTTACTCTTACCTAAGTACACTGTCAGTTAATAGAGCCTCTCTCTTCATATGTTATTGGAGGCTGTCAGCCAGATTCTGGTCTGAGTTACAGTGGTAACTTCAGAGTATGTCCGAAGATACAGATAGACCTGCTCTAGATTCACATCAGTGTGACTGAAAGGAGATTTTTTTTTCTCCTATAAACTTAAACTTGAGGAAAGAATCCATATGGTTCTTGTTCCTAGCACAAGATGGCATGAAGAAGTGTAACTGTTTTCTGCCAGAAGCCCCAAATGTCTATTTTTTTAGCAAACACAGGTCTACAAACATCAGAAAGCTAACACTAATATTCTCTAATATAAATGGTCGGACACACCAAAAGCTTTGCTTCTTAAAGAAAACTATTATCTTACCTGTTTTTCAGGTGATAATCCTGACACGGCCATGTATGTGCTCCCAATCGTTTTAATTTTTTCAATATCTTGAAATCTCTCTTCACCTAGTAACTAATACATATGTAAAAGCCACTGTTATTTCTGTAATTCTTAATGCAAAATCCTTCTACAGATATTAAAATGAATCATTACACTCATGGCATCTTCCATTGGTCACGGCGCACAGTTCATTCTGGGTTCTGGGGCACACTGAGCTGGGACCCTTTGCAACATCCTCTACTCACAGAGTGCACTCAAGCTAAATTCTGCTGTGCTTTGTAAAACTGTTTGGTAAATCACATGATGGATAATGTAAGACATGCATATTCCAGCCTAACTTAAATGCAGATGAGTCCTGCATTTCCTGGGGTATAATCACTGAAAATTAGTGAAGACAGACTGTCTGTGTATGTGTGTGTGAATATAAGAGGACTTTATCACTTAAAAGTCTTCCTAAGTATCTTTTGAAGGAAGTCAGTTTTCAAATTGAGTGCTGCTACAGCAACATTTCAGGTGATTAAAGGGAATTCAGTCCACTTAAAATCACTGTTTTAACCATCTTACACAGTCAATGGATGAAGTTAGATGCTTCCAAAGAACTTCTATGAGAAATCAAGGCCTTCTGTATCCCATGCTTTTCTCTACTTACTGTCAGACCTAACACTGGTATGTCCACTGGGTCACTCAATCTGCACTTTTGTTATGTATTTTCCTCTTCTACAAAAAAATTAGGGAACCAATGGGAAGTGATAAACACCTGTATCTATTTGAGATGCCCATAGTTGCTAAGTAGGTATAAAGAACTTGTCAGATTGAGAATCTGCAAGAGGAAGAATAAATTTAGTCTATTGGCTAATGCACTGAGTGGAGTGGGAGTGACAGTTTGGTCCCTATTCCGAGTCCATATTCGCAGTTTAACTTAGGACTTTGCATGAAATAGAAGCCAGAGCCTTACATTCCTTGAGAGACCTAAGCAGAGTTCAGGCTGTGAACTCTGTCAATGACAGTAGAGCTTTATACAGGATATGGGCACATATCACCTCATCCCAGGCTTTAAAAATGTCTGTTGCTGATGTTAATATCAAAATACCCCAAGAAACTTCATGATAAGCAGTATGGTATCTAATACATTTAGGTATCAATATGATTAGGCAGTCCTGGAAGAAAAAAAAAAAGCAGTTCACAGAGACAAGAAATTTCAAATTTTCAGTTCTAAAGGTTCAACTTAGTTGGGATTTAAATGAAGAAAAAAAAATCTTGCTGTGGTCAGGCAAAAATTTAATGAAGCGTTTCCCCCTTCTTTTATACATGGTCATGCATTCTTTTTCCATCTTGTGGGTTTGAGTTTCCTGTCAATTAAAAACTAAAGGGATTATTTCATTCAAAGGGAGAAACATACCAAAGGCATAACATGAAATGGCCCCTGCCGTTGAACTAACCACAGCATACGTCAGCCGGAGTGTCGGGGTCTTGGAAGCTTTGCTGTTCGTGTACAGCTATCACACCATCTGTCTCTAATGGGAGGCTGCACAGCATTGCACGCAGGGAATACAAAGCCATATGGTTAATGGCTCCCTTCCAAGTCAGGAAAGTCCAAAAACTTGACCTGCTTCTCGTTTTTCTTCAAACTGCCAGAAAAGCCCATTATCTACATTTCCCTCCTACAAGGGCAGCTCCTCCAACTGCTCTCTTAAAGAAAAAGATCATTTCTTGTAGCTCAGCTTTTGTGAGTGGTCTGAGAGCACCAGGTGTGTGGGCAAGGGGAGAAAATAGCCTGGGTTAAAAACAGCCTATATTTTCATTTCCAGATGGTTGCTGGAAGCAACAGCAAACAGCACAGAAATTTAGAATGTATGATAAATATCTAAAATGACTCTTTTTAAGAAAGAAAGAACCTACTGGCTTTGAGGCAATTTAGAAGAAGTAATCTCAAGTTATCTTTTTTCGTCTCATTCATTATTGTTTCCAAATATCTTTTTTTTTCCCTGCTTTATCCTGTTTGTTAGATAGCTTCTTTCCTTCTTCAAATAATGGTTTATTTACCAATTACTTTCTTCACAGTGTGACAGGATGATGGATTTTGATATTGGGGTAAGATATTTCAACTCAGTCCCAAATCAGCTACTGTTTGTTAAGACATTTTAAATAATAGGCTTGCTAATTTACTAAGATAGTCCAGCAAACATTTTCAAACACTAGAATGTGGTTGGTATCTGAAAAGCAACTAATGGCTCAATGCTGCAATTCATGTACAGCCAGGGTTATGTGGAGGTCAGACCCAGGGGTATACACATGCAATGAAACATGTATAAAGTAGTACAAAAGAGAATGTTCCAGGACATGGCACACAATTTCAAAGTAATCAGTGAAGTCTGAAAGCAGGATCCTGCATTCTGCCAAAACCTCTATTTGTGGCAACATAATATATTAAAATCTGTTGTCATAAACACTCTGTAAATCACTGCAGGATAAAGAAAATGGAGGGAAAAAGAGCCCATGAACTAGAAAGCTCTTATTAAAACACAAATCCCAACTGTAACATCACTAAGATACATAAATGATAGATTAAAATGGCTAGAAAGAATATTATATTAAAAAAAAAATCCTTCAAGACCCATAATCTTCAGGAGAAATGTTCCAATATTACTTTTTTGGTGCAAGATCTCAAAGAATGGCAGTTTAGCCCTGTATGTGTCTTAAGACTACAGTCATATAAAAAATGGGTAATTATAAAAGTAGATTTGCAATGTTCATGCTTGGTTTTTGATGTCTGAACTGTTCCTGTCAGCACCTCTGTGCTTGGGTAGAAAATAGGGTATTATATATAACTGTATTCTATAATGATGCTATATGTCAAATTTAAAAAAAAATCTCGTTTTGTCAGTCCAGAAACAAACACCTCCCATCCTGCCTCAGATGACAGGAAGCCTGGATAATTTGGAAATCAACAGATTTGTGAGCCATCAGGGAAAAAAAAAAAACAACTGAGTGAACGCTGTGCTTTGAGAGGAGTCAACTATTCCCCAAGACTGACTTTTGGACCAGGTTCCCCCAGTTCCCTAAGAAAGAACCCGTCACAACCTGACTCCTCTGTGGGCTCCTACCCCATACCTTTGTTGGTGGCAGGTTCTGTTACACCATTCACTATTTTTTGTTTGACTGGCTTTGACTCTCTAACAGATCTATTACCTAGAAAACAAAATAACAGATCTGGATTGTAAGCCTACTGGTTTATAGTAACATGGAAACTCCTCCAAAAAGAAGAAAGAAATAACCCAGATCTCCTTCTCATGCACCTATCACATTTTCCAAACCAGATCAATTTGTATTTTTACCTCTGCTTTCATTCAGAAACCTCTTCCTGGCCCTATGGACAGAGCATTCCTACTACTATTATCCGTGCAAGGAAAGGAGGGGAATCACAGTGTAGAATCTGATTTGAGATTTGGAACTCAATTCAGTTGTCTAAACATAGGTGTCTAGGGTGATCTAGAGCAAATTTCCTTGAAAAACCTCCAATGGCTTGCTCCAGAACTGCATGAGTTTTCTGACAACATAGCATGGGACTGGACAATCCCATATGGGTGTCTGAAATCACCTAGGGTATCTCAAATGGCACCAGGTACTGATGTCTTACACTCCTGCACTAAAAATTGTGCATTTGGGTGTCTCTACAGTGGTGTCCACGTGATGCTGAGGAGCAAAGTTTTCCCGTGGCTATCTGCTCTGCTCTGCTCTCAAAGTGCACATCTGCACTTTGCTTCCAGGGCTTTATTGAGACAGTGGACAATCTTGGCAAGAAACATCATGAAAAACAAGGAATAGTGACATCATGTAGTGTCAGTCAATAGTTACGTGGAAACATTACTGGCCCTGAATCATCGTACCTGAAATGACTTTCCGTGGGTAGGATTACTCACTTCAGTTGTTCTGGCTGGTGTATCACCCTTCAGATTGCTTAGACAGAATAAACTAATGGCATGACCATGCTGGAAGTAGGTTAGCAGTCATCAGGGGATCACATAATTTCATTTACTACCCGTACCAAGAACATATCTATTATTCAACTAAACATGTCTGGGACATAATACAGTCCCTAATTAGGTCCTTTATTAATTACAGAGCAGGTGTTAGGGGCCTGAATGTAATATTGTGGTAGGGCTTTTGATGAAAACCTTGCCTTCTGTAATCGCCACAGCAGCAATGGAATTTTGTTGTGAAGATTGTATGAACGTGCATGGCAAAATATCTTAAATTAATTCATAGCAATAGGCTTTGCATTAAATTTGAGCCATAATTATTTTAATCAGATCTGGAAAGAAAAACAAAGCTATTAATCAAGAAGCATGCTGACAGCTGTGCAAGATCTCAGAGATAAGAAGCAGGTATTTTTAAAAGTTACAGAGCTCTTCTCATAGGAGAGAAGTTTTGTTTTCTACTAAAAATACACAGGGATGCATCCCATGTGAATTCTTCTATTTCCCACTAGTAATTTTAGTATCTGACCAATTATATGGTTAAACTCTCAACTTCATTATCTCTCAGAGTTTGGCAGTCTTAACCCTGGTCCTGTTTTTATGAGCTACTACTCTAGGAATATTCCCCATGCAGGTGCCCAGGATGAGGAAGGATTGAAGGTGCACTTAAGACCCTGTTCTGGGTTCATATTTAGGTTCTAGCTTCTGGCATGGGAGCAGGTATCTTTGTTTTAAAAAAAATGCAGGAAAGTCAATTACCCCTTTCTGCGTTTGTTTTCCATTTATGAAATGAAGAAATCATAGCTTCCACCAGAGCAGCAAATTGAAAATATATTCTTCAAAACTTGTGAGAGGCCTTAGGTACTTGCTGCTCAGGATGGAACAATAAAAAATAAAAGGATTTTTTTTCCCTAATCTCTTTTTCTCAGTCATGTGCCTTCCATTTTAATCTTTTCCTCTAGTATCTTCCTCAGAAACCCTTGGAGGTACTTGCTCTTCAAAGCTAAAAAACCAAACCAAACCAAAAACTCTAGGCTCGATCCTCAGAGACATCTGTGTTTAAAGTAGGACTGAGGTAGAACTAAACAAATTAAAAAAAAAAAAAAGACACTGATTCTCAAATCTTCATTCAGCTGTATTCTAAACCCTGGAGAGGGCTGAACTTTGCCAGTGATTTAGTTTTGTGGAAAAAAGGTTTCTGTATGATAATCTATGGGCAGAGTCCTGGTCCAGATGCAAAGTATGCCACCTTGTCTTCTCTCAAAAACTCAACCTTCTGCACTCTAGTAATGCTTTTTGAGTTGAGATCCGAAGTGGTAAAAGATGTTCTCTTTTTTCAAGCCTTAACCTAAGTGGAGTTTTACCCTTCTCTGTTTTAGGTGATTGCTCCATGGTTACATAGCTCCTGTGGGTTGCAAGTTCCAGATCCAGATCCTTTTGAGGGAACAAATTCTATTTTTTTGGACTGCATCTTAGTTTTAAGCTGACAAGATACTCATCACTTCTCCAGTTGATACTCTACCACAATACAGAAATTAATTAAAAAATTCCTTGAGATAAACAGAAATTAAACAGAACATGGGTTTCTTGGGTAGGGTTTCTCGCTGTTTCTCAGTGATTTCTTGCCACCCATGTGCTCTCTCCCCTGCTGTCCCGTTTAGTATTATTCTTGCCTTGCTCAGCAGAATTCTGAAAATGATGTCTTTTCCCCACTTTCTCTTTGAATAACTTCTCCAAAACCAGAGTCACAGACCAATGATACCACCATCACCTCCTCACTTCCTCTCCCCTTTTCTATCTCCACTATCCCACTGTGGCACACAGATCCCAATATCACTGTGAGGAAGAGATGGCTCAGATTCTGCTTCTACCACTTGGGGAGCTCAAGGAGGTCTACGTGCTCCTGAAAACTTCTTGCAGTGTACAGGTTAAAATACCCCATGATACGTAATTTTGGCCTTACTTTTGCACCCTTCCTAGTTTTAAAGTTTTTTCAAAGCTCATCCTTTGTCCCCTTTCTTAATTCCTCTTGGGCTCATTGCAGGACACAATACCACCTGTCTAAGCTTCCTTACTAACTAGTTGGCATGGTACACAATACCAAGCATGCAGCTTGCTCCTGACTTCCTCTTCATTTTCCAATTTTTCCTTGCTTCCATCTGGAAATAGCTATATTGGGGATCTGACTTTTCTCCTGTTTATCTTACCCCCTCCTCATCTCCCTTTCTGAAATTAACTGGACAGGATACTTAAATAAATTCTTTTGCGTTTCTACATCCTCTCCATTCTTATTTTTAAATTTTCCCTTCACCTCTGAATTCTTCAGTAAAGCAAGCGGCTTTACTTCATTTACCTGTGCATAACATACCTGACCTTACAAGTCTCCTCAGTTAATATGTCACCACCTTTCATTCTCTATCCAACATTTGATTCTGAGCTGTGTGCTTCACATTTAACTTGACACTGTTCTGATCTTTAACATTCATTGAGTCCATTCAACCAATGTCTGCAGAACAATATCTTTATCTGTTCGGATTTAGACCACTACTTTCCAGAACTGTTGCAAATATCTCCATCTTTCTTTATTCTACTGAATTAAAGCGTGTTCTACTTCCAGATACACTGAAGCAGATTGTGCTCTTATTTATGCATGTTCATACTCAAGTAAATATTGATTTTAGTCTCTACCTCACTAGGTCATTCAGACCAAAGTTTGGCAAGACTAGGTGCAATAAAAGCAAACCAGACAATTGTAATAGGAATTTGAGTAAAAAAAAAAAAAAACAAAAACCCAGACAATTATTGGAAGCAGAATAGTTACTAAGTTTGATAATTCATCATTCAAGAGCTATCAGATTTCCTCTAGTAGCTGGTATTACCTCATCGAAGTCTGCAATGATTTCATTCAACAAGCGCAGACATTCTACTCCTTGGTTATTCATCTCGGTCTGGGAATAGAAGTCAGCAAATCCAGGAATAGAAGCAAACATCACACCAACAGCATCATAGGACTGAGAGTATAATTCCTTTAAGAACAATGAAGAAAAATGAATTTAAGTGGTAATATACAGAAGACAACATAATTGGCTGCAATTAGATAGGTTTCTTATTTTTTCCATGCATAATGCCTTAATAGCTGAGCTTAGCATCAGTATATTAAGCGTTAGACAAGTTCAGGAGGAGGCTGACATCTCTCACATTTTTGTCACGGCTTGTATGCAAGGTTTGCCCTTTCTTTGAAAGTCTACTTTTTCTGATCCTGAAGTCAGGAGGCTACACCAGCAAAAATGAAATAGAATTTTTCGTTTTGATTTATATGGGGAACCACTTTAAAAAATAAAGTATTCATTTGCAAGTATGAATACCAGAGAATCAAACACAGTTAGGCAAGTAAAAGGAACCTAATGTTTATTATTTGTTATTGTTTAAGTCTGTCTTATGAATATTTGCAGTTGACAATGTATTTCTAAATTTGTTGATTAACAGGGATCAGATGGGACCATTTAAAATATCTAGTATGACCCCTTTGTAAAGAGTCTCCTCAGTTACCACATTTTCTGGTGTATAATTTATACTTCATGCTACTGCAGCTCTTTACAATTTTTTTTTTTATTCACAGATTTTCAGAGGGCCCTTACTCCACGGTAAACTGTGATTCTCCTGTGGTGACTATGAAGCCATTTGGTTGCCTGGCTCTTGGACAGGTTCCTGCTATCAGGGTCTGAAAGGAGGGAGGAACAGAACTGAGGGTGATAATGGAGTTACTGAGGACAGAAAGCTGCTTATAAGAGATCAGACACAGGAGGCTATTAGGATAAAGTATGCACTGGGATAAACTTCCACTTATGTTATTCATGTAATTCACACTGGTACTGAATGACAGATTTATCTATGGATGGGTTCTTGTGATTATATATGTGAAGATGCGGTCAGTTCTTCTCTGAACCCAAACAAATTTTTAGGAGCAAAACTAATGTCAACTTAAAAAGTATCAAGGACATAGCCCCCACCCCCAAGTCCTGGTATGCTTTTCTAGTGGCTAATACACCACAAGCACATGCGTTCTCTTCTGTTTAATTTTTTTCTAGCTTCCACTTCTGTAGTTTTACCCAATGGCTGATACTTTCACTTCTGTTCTGGGACTTCTCTTATGACATTCTGTCCCAGAGTAGTTGCTTCTCAATGTTCTTGTTAGTGTGCTTTAGGAAATTTTAGTGCTTTGCTCTCATGATAAAAGGACTTACTGCTAGATGCCTGATGTAAACACCTTAGGCTCCTCTTCTTCATCCTCATCTCCCTAGAAAAGCATCCCGAACCCCTGTCCTGCATTTTGCTACGGTGCTAGTGCTGCTACTTATCTGGACTCTTTAACAATGTGTCCTACCATGAATGTGGGAAAAATTCTGCTAGTTTCCAAGGACAATGCAAAGCTTTGATTGGCAATAAATGTGACTGATTCCTTTCCTGCTCTTACACTTTCTTTCACTGAAGAACATCTGCAGGGTCATGGAAACCATACTCTAAGGACAATTTTACTGCCTTTCATAGATATAGAAAAAAGTAATGCACACATTAGTTCATGGAAGACTAGACAATATGTGCTAGGAGAAACATATATACACTCAGACATACTCTTTCCTTAGATCGTGAAGACAGAAAACAACTGGCTGAGCCTTCAGCTGCTCAGTTTTTCTATTTTTGGTAAGAACCATCAAGACAGAGATAATATATCCATGAGAAAATGCTTACGGTACACATTCGGGAATTCATTTTTTGAGAGCAGAGAAATTAACTTAATGGCCAGACATGAACTGCAGGATTGATTGTACTGAAATCTGGTAGATGTTACAGCTAGCTGGCTCATGCATAAATCATCCCCAAGCATAGTCACTCTGGAAATTGCCTTACAAAAACCAGGGGTGGTGGAATTGAATTCAGTGGCATGTTATTGAAGCATCAGCAGTGATCCATGGGACATCTGTTTACTTTTGATGATTATTATGCATGTGAGTGTATGTGAATGAATGTGTAAGAGAGGACATGCGTTCCCTGAAAATCCATAATGCAGACACGCCAGAACACACTCATGGTTGGTATTGGGGCCTGCTCCATTTGCAATGAAGCATTTTAACCTGGTTGCTTTCCCTCACACATATACTCAAGTGCAGAGCAGTGGTTTTATGGCAGTTTAATACCCATAGAGTGTAAAATTCCTAAAGAGACTGATTTCTAAAATGCCTTTTCTTGTAGGTTCTCACTATGTCATCCTTCCCTAGGTGATATTTGAAATCACATCGTCAGAACAAAATGGTTCCTCATTGTGTAGTCTAATTCATCTGGCTACATCTATTTCCAAAATGTACAATCAGAAAAGGGTAGCCTTGATTACTCTTTGCTGCACAATGAATAGATATGTCGGTGCTGGCAACCCGAATCTTGCAACATTTGCAACCTCTTCATCATAAAAGATAATTCCACCATTACATGAGAAAATTCCAGTTTCATCATACAGTGGACTCTATTCACAGATAATATTGTAATACTCATTTGCCTTATTTGCTTTCAGAAACAAATTCTGGACTTTATTCCTTCAGCAACCTATCTTCAAACTGTGTCTTAAGAATAGCCAGAGACTCCATTATCAAAATTTTCTTTGTGTACTGCAAACACTCTTCAGGAACATAGCCACAAACTATTTTATTAACTGCTCCAAGGAGACAGTTCAGGGGCAATATGAAATGGCAAAAATGTTCTCTTGGGTCTGAAGATGTGAGAGGCTCAGATTGGTTGCAGCCTGTTGCACAGATTACTACTTTAATAACTGGTAGGGCTGTAATAATACTTCTGCAACCCTGGTCTGTCTTAATTTTGCACAGGCATTCTGTTAAATTAACATATCTTCTTTAGGAATACTAGATTTTCATAGACTCATAGGTTGGAAGAGATATCTGAAGGTCATCTAATATAGTTCCCACTCAAAGCAGGGCCAGTTAGGTTAATTTTCTCACGGCCTTGTTCAGTTGAGGGTTGAATATCTCCAAGACTGGAGATTTCACAACCTCTCTGAGCCCTGATGCAATGACCACTTTCCCAGGGATCTTTTTTCCTTTGTATCTAAAGGGGATTTTTCTTCCTGCAACTTGTATCGTTGCCTCTTGTCCTTCCACTTGCACATCAGAGAAGAATTTGGCTCTGTCTCCTCTATAAACACCCATTAGGTATTTGAAGACAGTGGTGAGATCCTCTTTCAGCCTTTTCCTCTTAAGATTGAATGAACGCAGCTCTCTCTGCCTCTCCTCATATGTCGTGTGCCTCTAATCATCTTGGTAGCTCTCTGCTAGACTCATTCTAGTAGGTCTATGTGACTCCTATGAGTGAGCCTAAACCTGGAAACACCATTCCAGATTTGGTCCTAGAAGTGCAGAACCCTTTACTTTAAAACATAAATGTTTTTTTTTAATGTGGATCAGATACCAAGTATTGGCAGTATTTGTGTAAAGAATCCTATTGCGAACTAAATGCTAACAATTTCCTAACAGATCTGCTTTTCTTTTGCTAATTAGAGAAAAGTATCAGAAATAAAAATGATACATACTTCATTATCCCGATCCTTCTCCAGGAAGTGACGGGCAACATGACTGGGTAAAATATTCCGTAGCATATTTTCATTGTGCTCCCTTAACTCCTTCATTTCATTGATTTCTTCTTTTGCTTGAACACGCCACAGAAAATCCAGCCTTGCTGTGTATTCAAGCTGTATTCAAGAAAGAAAAAAAAAAGGCAAAAATAAAACCTGATGAGATAAGACCAGACATTGTATTGTCATCCTGGCAGGCTGCTCCTGCCACGTAACCAAATTCAGTGCCTCTGAAAATCTTTGACTCTGACAGAATTTTATTTTATTGCCAGAAAAAAGAGATTATTTCCTTGCCTCGTGTATGGTGAGTGTCTCAGAGGAATCTTGGGCAAAATAATATTTGTCACATTACTGCTATGAACAGTGGCTAGAAAAAGCCACAAAATTATTTTCCTTTATTAGTTGGGTAATGGAGTTAGACAGGAGATAAGGTAGTGGAAGATATCGGTACTGGTATGAAATAAATCTGTTCCCCTTTTCATATGTGTTTTCAAATCAAATAGGTTTCATGAGAAAATAGCACAAGGGTCATTCTAAAGACTTTGAAGAGACAGGTAGTTTACTCCTCAAGGATGAGCGTCTTTCAGCAAAACTATGTATAACAGGCCAAGAGACTCCCAAAGCGGTCTTTCAAATCTGTGGCACCAAAATGAGGTATTTCTACTGTTGGGACATCCAGTTATTTGCAATTTAAGTCTTTTGAAAGATAGTAAAAGATGCTATTTGATAGCCCCTGGAATTCTCTGTCCCTGATGTAGTGTGGATCCAAAGTCTGCAGTCACAATTTAGTACGAGCATGGTGGCAGTGCCGGATACCCTCAGCTAGAAACCAAAGTTAAATGGTTTTCAGCTCTGTATGTGCACAGAACGAAAGGAAGATTCCTGCACAGCACGCATTATATATAGATATATATTTTTGTACTGTGTATTTTTATAGGTATACATATAAATGCATATTCATATATACAGAAATGGTAGCTGTCTGCTAGGTGAAGCGGGGAACATGCCGAAATATCGTGTTGTTTGTCTGAGAGGCACGTGCGCCGGCACATGGACAAGACCAACTCTGCCAGAACTTTTGGGTGCATTACACTGATGAAGAGTTTTAATCAGATTTTATGGCAGGTGATACTGTAGCTTGCACAAGGGGTGACTTACTAAGCTACGGCTTAGCATTATTAGTATTAGAATTATTAGTATTATTGAAAATGACGGAAATACATCTGTGTGCAGTAAACTGCAAGAGAAAATATACTTGTGAGACTTGAGATGTGCTAACCAAAGATAATAATCAAACACCCAGCAGAGAAGTGTATTATACCAGCAAATGAATGCATTTTACAATTGGGAGACACATCAGATGTGCTGCCAAAAGGCGCTGGGATTATGGAAGTGGTTGGGGTATAGGGCAAGCCTGCAGGGGGTGGGAGTGACTGCAAGGGGGCTCTGGCCAGGCACTGTTTAGTGTCTCATCTTGTCCACATTTTTCGTCACCAGCAGTGACCAACGGCAAACTGTTCAGAAGAAAAACAGCACCTTGCAAGGGGGCTTACAGGTTGACTGTACTCCAGGGATCTTTCTTTCCTAAAAGCTAAAAGTGAGCCTCGCTTGATATAAACTTCCAAAGTTTGGGGGCATTTTAGCAGTGATTTGCTTGCCTCTGGATGCTATTGCCACCTTTATAAACAGTTAATCTTTTTTCTAGTTCCAATATTTTGATGTTTCATTTTGTAACTATTAATTCCCTAATTTAATTGCAGCAAAAAAACAGTCAGGAAAAAGTATTTTTAAACAATTTTTTCAACATTTTTCAGTTTCCTTCCCCCTCCCTTTTGTGCTAGAAGACAGAGCCCACACCAGATCATAACTGGCTTTTATCTCTACCAGCTGACTGAGAAGGCAACACTGACTGTAATTTTGCAAGGAGTTCTGAAGGTATTTTACAGATTGGCTTGGAGCAGGAGCTGCTGGTGGATTCTGGGTTCTTTGATGCTTCAGATATTTAATGCCACTACAATAAGAGCTTTGCAAAAAACTGTAATACAGTTTTTCACAGCTGGTTTTTTTATGCTGTTGTACAGGAAAAATTCACATCTCTAAAGCTAGCTCAGAATAGCAGCAGCTAATCTTTACATTTTAGCTAATGTCATTCTGGTTATTTATAATCACATTATAACAAGAAATATTTTTCTTGCATCATCAGTGGACAACTGAGATGACACTGTCAGTTCAGAGATAAAAGGGTGTGCTACATATGAGGTTTGAAAATAGAAAATTTTAAGAAGATGTCTTGCTAAGTTCCGATATTTGTTAAAAATAACAAAATTACAGGGTTGAGTTTTGGGTTTATTTTTTGATTGTGTAAAGAAGTATTCCTGGGCACAGTGGTGCCAATAAAAATGACCATCCGCAACATAAATCTTAAAATGTCCAGATTTTCTTGCCCTGATACATAGCTCTACAAAACACCTCTCATTCCAATAGTGAGTGAAGAAAATAGAGAAGGTGTATTACACAGCAAATCTAACACTGTCTATGTCCTCTAAACGCTGTACAACCCAATCTCTCTGCAGACAATTGCCACATGCAAGGAAAGCACAAGTTAAGGATCAGCGTTTGTGGGGCAGAAGAGAGAATGAGGAAAGATTTACATCCCGAAGGGACACTTTCAAGCACTGAAAACAGTCTAACTCCAGATAAAACAAGCAAATATCCTTTCTTCACTACACTAAAATTTGAATATAGAAAGGATAATAAAGAGACTTGAAGGGTAATGCCAGAATTAGGTATGTCTCTTCCTCTCTTTTTCTCTTTCAATTGGAACAATCTCCTCTTTGTATTTCCTCATTCCTCCCCTTTTTCCCAAGCATGAAGAAGGTCCAGGGGTCACGTTTATTGCAGACAAATTGCTGTATAGGGATGTCAGTCCCTCCTCCCTTCCCACAAGGCTCTTTAGAGCTAAGCTACAGCCCTGACATCCAGAGGTTATTAGGTCCATAGATGTCTGTGCCTGCCCTGCCAAAGTTCAAATCTTTCTTGGTACCAAAAAGTGCCAGAAGCAGATGAGCAAACCAGTCAGTCAGCCAACACTTGCCTACACTAGAACACTCATGTGGTGTAGGCAAGATCTACACTCGGATCTGCAGTCTAAAAGAAACCAGAGATGATTTTGCCCTTTCTTTTATAAAGCCTGTTTTTAGGTTTAATTGAGGTGGAGGGAGAGAAGGGACCGACTCTGCTGGGGGCAGTTTTATTCCCTCTTTGAAACTGTTAAAACCTTCTCTTTTAAAGCCATGGCAGAAGGTTTCACTCAGGGTTAATAGGCTATTTATATCGTGTGCATACACTAGAGATGTATTCCTAGTAAAGAAGACTGTATATGATACTGTATTTTGATGGGGTTTTAAGGGATAGTTTATGTTCATACAAAATGTTCTACTTAACTCATTAAAAAGATAAAGCAGTAGATGATCACAACAGAATAAGTCTAGCCTCAAAATTATCTGCAACACTTCTGTCATGCTTTTTGTCAAGTTTACTTTGCAGAAACAATGCTGTAAAATACGTATTACTTGTGTTAAAAAGAAGTGTTTCTAGATTAAATCGGATTTCTAATAGGGAATTTGTCTATTTAGCCTGAAGTCATGTGACAGCTACACAACTACTTTTAATTATGAGTTTAGCACCAGAGATCCTCGAGATTTATTGGCTGAAGTACAGATAAGATTTTAAGAAAGCTCTGAGTCTGATTAGAGAATCTCAGACAACCTTTTCTTGAACGTAACTTAAAATTCTGGGTGCAAAATTGGGGATTAACTTTAAATCACAGTGGATAAAGTATAGTAATTAGTTGTTCAGAAAGTAAAGGCCCATAAATTTAGTCTTACAAAAGTAATCCTTTTTGTAAATTCAGCTAGAATGAGGCAAGTTCTAAGCTATTCTACTTGAGAATACTTTTGTGGTGTGTGAGAAACAAAGCTGTGCTGGAGGACAGCTTTAATGGACTTACTGTGTTCCCCATCAATTCACGTTATTGAAGAGAATTTTTTTTAATGTGCTCTGGATGAAATTTTTATGTATTTTTTAGTTGGCATTTATACAGAGACCTTTAGGTTAACTCTATAATAAGAAATTAAACAATATAAGGAAATGTTCTGGGGCACTGCTGTTGGATACTGTTAAATTGATAAAGTAGCCCTATGAATCCTTTGGGAGAACATGCGGGAGTTACCACATCTGATGGACCGTTTCCAAGGGTGGTTTGAATGCAGCCGCCCTGTTTTATGGACCAAGGAAGATTAATAGGGTGGAAAAAGACTGTGCTGTGTTAACAGGCCTCTGGGCTGGAAAATACTCTTAAATACCCCAGATGGGGCTTTTGTAGAAGACAGACATTTAGACTCAGATTTGTGATCCCAAAGAGCATTGCCTGGATGCTGCCTAATCTTTGTTCTACCTGAACTCCTTTAGTGTTTTCTCTCTTAGGACTGACTCTCACATTTGACAGTTCCCAACCCTTAGATCAGTATCTTTATGTATGTTAAGAATCATTGGGAATGTTATAAATTTTGGATGTTCAATTCTCATTTGTTGCATATTTTTCCTAAACGGGCTTGAGAAAGATATGTCAAAGTACATTGTTTTCTGTCAAACTTAAAATCTGGGCACAAAGCACATTTTGTCCCTTGCTTCCCCTACTCACTCACTCCTCATTTCCTCAGAAGTAGACAAAAAGGAAGAAAATGGCTAGAATATTTAGGTGATGCCTTCTTTTTGCTCTCCTATGGAAGGAATGGAACCTGTAGGTACATGCACAACTTTTAAAGCTATTGTAATATTGTAATAAATTGTATGATACTGTGTTATTCATCACAGCCACATTTCTCTCTTATTGCCGCACTCAAATTAGGATTAAGAAATGCTGATATTAATCAGCCTTATGCTCCTGAAAGGAAAATCTTTAAGCAAGTTGAACATGCAGGACAATGTCTAAAGGCAATTGTGGTTGCTGTTTCTTTTAATGCAGCTAGTCCCGTTTGCATTTATGTGAAGAAAACCTGCCTGAAGTCAGCATGTTTGACGTGCAGCAGCCTAGAAGTTGCCAGCCAGAAGTGCTGTGCAGAACACACCCTGCTTTAGGTGTCTTTTACTCAATGCATTTGTTGTTTCAAATTTTAATTTGTTGTACTCCACTCCCTCTGTGCACTGTGCATGGATTCTTGAAATACTCAGTTTCTCAGTTCCTCCTCAAGGATACCAAGCCTAAAGCTCTGAGGCCCCTAAATCCTGGTTATGACCTAGGTCCATGTGAAAGAATTCTTGCAAGATCATGGTCCATGATCCAATGAAGTTGGTATTGGCACTTAACCACAAATTTTCCTCATTTCCTCAAATCTGGTGTTTTTATTCTATGAATATACTAAAGTATTTCATGGGAGTTTTACTATTCACTGTTTGTTATTCCCTTTCGTCATTTTGGTTTTATGCTCACTCAAGTGCATTGAAGCAGTCAGATGCCACTGGAATTGCACATGTACCTAAGATAAATGAAGTCCCATTTGTTCCTTCAATTTCTATTAGAACATGCAATATAACTTGTGTACTGCTGAATATAACATTGCACATGTTCTTTAAGAATGCTAGGCAGTGTCAGATGTGGGCTTTCTTTAATCAGATTCTGCATATGGTTTATTAAATTCTTAAAGGTCATATGCCCAAGTGTATAAAAAGGCAGTTGGTATTTTGAAAGTAATTATTGTCACATCCTGTAATTGCAAGTGATATAGGGAATGGTTAAAACAAATGTTTGCATTACCTGTTGACCATGATAAAATACGGCTAAAAGGAACATTGCCATCAGTAGCAAAGATGCCTCCTTTGTACCCAGGAAGTCTGTGCTGGAAAAAAATCCAAAGTAAAATACAGTTATTGATTTGTCAGTGTTGTAATTGTTCAGAAGTTTCATTTCATAATGCACCTCGGTACTTTTGTTGTTCTTTATAAAAGCCCCTGTATTTGAAAATTTAACTTAGTAATAATTAGTTCAAGAGAAGAGGAGTGTAATTGGGGTGCTCACCATTTGGAGGCAAATGGATTAAATAACTAAATTGTAGCCTACAGTAGATACACAGAAGGTAATCTTTCTCTTTCAAATGTGATATGTAAGCTGTAAGACTAAGTCAGTCTCTTTTCCTGGAAGCTTGGTAAAAAACCATGAACACCACAGCCCCTGTGGAGTACAGGAGGTGGGATCTGGATGGGGAATGGTTGATGCTGGAGCTGGGAAATGGAAACTTCCAGAGTGTGAAACTAAAAGCCCAGTGAATGGGCCTAGAGATAAAAGATGAACCCCAAGGCAGATGCTGAAAGTTAAACTTCCCCGTATTGTGAGAAAGGTTCAGAGAAGATGATAGGTGAGTTAAGGAAGGAGGTATGGATCAAAGGGGAATCAAAAAAATGGTAAACAGTAATTAGGACTGGGTTTAGTGAGCCACAAAGAGGAGTTCAGAGAAGAAATGTCTGCCTATAACAGGGGAAGTAAAGGAAACTCTTGCAGGCAATAGGAAAGCAAAGAAGATGAGCCAAGAGAATAAGAATACTGGCTGTATGAAATCTACTGTATGAAATCACTGAGATGCTGTGTGTGGAACATGAAGAAAGTGTGACAAAAATAAGGTGAAAGGAGTCCAGAGCCATTAAAGGGGATTTCAAATATGAGGAGAAATTACAGTTATGTTGAAAGATGACAAAACTGAAGGAAGTGAGCATCTCTGAAATATCAGAGGGGTTTAAAAAGGCATGTTTCCCAGGGGAAAACACATAAATGAAGACGTTGGGGAACTGGGAGGGCCAATCCTGTAGCAGATCAAAAAGGAGAAAGAACTAAATTTGGAGGTGAATCAAACATGGATATTTGGCAATTATTTTGTTGAAGGGAGATGACGACAGATGGGGAAATGGTTAAGAGGTGCTTAAAGCCTGAAGTTGTGAAAAAAGTTAATAAAGGAGTAAACAAGGAGCAGAATTTAGAAGAGACTTTGGGAAACTCTTCTGCCTACCCCAAGATCAAAGAATAGAGCAAAGTCCAGACCCTGAATCTGTTTTCCGTAGTCATTAAAAAAAAGAATAAAATCAGGTGATATTTGTCAGAGGAGGGCTCCTATGACCGAGAAATGAGGGAGTGAAAGAGCAGAGCTCAATGGAGACTGAAGCAAAAGGAAACTTTCTTGTGAGAGAGCTAGCTGAACTGACTTCATGGGCCTAATGAAGAATGTGAGGAAATGTGCTGCTACGGGATGAGTCATCAGTACAGAGCAGAACAGTCAGGAGACATCTTTGTCATCTGTAAATATTTTGGCTTTCAAATGTTTCCCATTTTGCAGTTGTCTGAAATACAATCTCCCAAAGATTTCATTCCGGAAGGAAACCTTGTACACTCGCTAAAGGCAACAGCCTCAAAGGTCTTAGTTATGAACTCATCTGTTATTACATATTGTGGTAATGTAGCTATAACCACAAATGTATGAGATAGATAGATGAGTTTTGTAGGGAGTTGCAAAACATTTTATTCAATGAATTGGAATAGCTAAGAAAACAGATAAGTTTCAGGGCACACAGCCTCATGGTCCCTAACACTGGAGCTGAAGTTCAGATCCTTGTCCTGAGTGTGGAGCATCTCAGCTGAGTTCCCTATTCCCTGGGCTGTTGGCTGCTTTAGAGGATATTCCTAGCTCTTTCTTACTCTTTTGTGATAAAAGTCACTAGAGAGTTTCACTGACACACGGAATAGAAACTACTCTGAATTCTCTAAGATTTTCACACAAGGGAGAATCTTTCTTTGCCATGCCTGATTAGTGACAAACATTAAAGACACTGATCATGATTTCTACTTCTAGTTTCTTAGCCAAAGAAACTCACTCCTGCTTGTCATATTTACTGGGCTCTGCTGTGAATATGCTATATGCCATCATCATTAGGAAGATAACTAGCATTTGAAAAAGTAATTGCATCCCGAATCTTTAGTACCTAGCTACCGTTGGAAGCTAGCAAAGAAAGTTATGAGTGCAGAGCCTTACTATGTGTAAAGCTGTGGCTGTTGTGAGAACTAATTGTACTGCAGATCCATGCTTTTCTGTCATTCTGAGGTTCATCATCTGGCACATAGTTACAAGCACAAGGAACTGCAATACTAAATTGGTCAAGTATCAAAGACTGAAGATGTGTTTTCCTGAATGAGCTAAATCACTGCTGCTCTAAATTCAATTATTGCAACACTTAATGCACTCTGCAAAATACTGTGGCTTTTCTGCCCTCCTCTTCAACTCCTCTTGCTGGGAAGGAAGCCTGGGAGGAGGAGTCTGTCCTTCAAATGTATTCCTACAAAACCTCATGGTATTCCTTATATCTTTCGTAACTACATGTTATAATTTGGATTTTATTCAGTTAAAAGCCTGCCCCTAAAAAATCAATTGTTCACTCCTGTTTTCTCAAACTGAGCCAAGAGTTCCATCAGTATCTCTGGAGTTTTCAAGAATAGAAGCAACCAATGTATATGCACTGCAATGCGTATTTTTAGCAATATGGATAGACTATGGGAGACGTACAAGACAAACCTTGCTCAATTTTTAAATGCCCTTATGAAATGAACATTTTAATAAAAAGGCCTGAGAAAGAATCCCATTATAAATGTCTTTGGATTAGTCATTGCCTCTTGCAGCCATCACTCCATACTTTACTATGGTGCTATCCTATACATGCACACTCCGGCAAGACTTGACCCATTACCTTATTAAAAAGCATTTCCTAAAGGGGGCTGTGAACACTTACTCTCCATTGTGGTTAAAGTTGTCATATTGCAGGAAAAGGGAAGCATAAATGGTCTCAGTCAGCAGAGAATAGATCGCAATCATGATGAGGAGTACTGCCAGCTTCAGGACAGAGTTGAGACGAAGAAAGACTGCACAAGTCACCATTGCCAGCACACCAGTGAAGACAAAATACTGAATAGAAAACAGTAGTGGTTACTTGCAGTGATCAGTGACTACATATTAACTCCATAAATATCTAAGTTTAAGTTATTGTTTAGGTGATCAGAAATATAAAAAAATTTTATCTGGATTTCAGTGTTCAGCTAAATTTTCTTAGGGTGCAGGGCACTTTGAAAATAAGGGGTTTGCTAAAATAGAATGTGAAATTACAGATTCTTTATTTTGCATGGCACTTCCATGTTACCAGAAATCCTCCTCTGAGCCTTTATGGCATTTTCATAGTATTAGAAGGGAAAGGGCATCCTGTATAGTGAAAAGAGGAAAGGGAGAGATGTAGTAGTTTGCAAATGAAAAGTCAGCTGAAAGCAAATTAATTTATATTCCTTTGGATTCTGAATTTCCACAAGATCCACATTAATCAGGATGGGAGAATCATATTCCTGCTTTAATCCTTTTCCCGTGCTACTTGAAGAGAGGATAAAGTCACAGGTTTTGTTGTTTTTTTATTTTTAATATTTTTACTTTTGATATTGCAGGTCTAGCTTAGTTACATTACTCTCTTAAAATGTGATGCCTGGAAGTTTTATTCATATCTCATTTTCTAATCTCTTAATTGTCTCATTTTTCTCAATGATTAGTCATCTGTCAAAAGCAATCCGTGCAGCTGATACTAGATATAGAGAAACAATCATGGCCATGAGCTATTCAGATTTAAAATAGCAACATCAACACCCACAGTCCAAATGTAGTTTAAATTAACTCCTATCATACAGCTTTAGGAGAGACAGCATTCATTTTTCTGAGTACAGCTTTTCTTTAGTACGGTTCCTCTGTAGGAAATTCTGCATCCCTACAATTTGTGGCGTACTGCTGGTAGTACCATGACACCGCCATGTGACTTACTAAGCAACGAACTTCTTTTATCTACACATGACAAACCCATTGATTTTGCTGCCTGCTTGCTCATCATAGAGAGGATTTTTTTTTTCTCCAAATGGAATTTTAAAATAACTACAGCAGAATGACTGCTGGTTTTGCTATGTAAGAGACTTCATATGAATTAAGTAGTGTGTTTTGAATCATTTGAATAATTTTGAATCCGTATGTTCACTGAATCATTGCTGGATGTGTTTCCAGCATAAAGATTCTGTATGAAGCTCAAAGGTTGAAACTCAGTTGTAATGCCCCATTAGACCATACAATTAATTCTTTCTGTAACCCGCCTCTGCTTTTTCTATCAGTGTATGGATAGGCGCCAAGGTTCAGCTTCACAGTGCTGTTGAGGCAGCTGGCTCCACCAGCAGTGCACAGGTCATTGATTCCAGGTAGGGGTTGCCATGTAACCTTTGTGCATCCGTGCCTCAGATTCAAAAGTACGCTCAGAAATACCTCAGGATAGGAACAGATGTCCGTAAAAGATGCAGATGAATTGAACGTCTGGTTCTTCAAAGCAACTGGTTTGTCAAAATCACACCATAGCTGTGAAGAAAGAAAACAAAATCAGGGCTACATTGTGTACTGGTGACTAAGTGCTTGAGTGGCTGGCTGCGTTCTGGGATGGAAGTGGCTGACCTGTTGCGCTCCATACCAGTTCCTTAACTGGCATTAAGGACTGAATGGACAGAAAGAAGACACACTGTGGAGGTGAAATGGAAAGAGGTGAGCTATTCACACTACAGACATTCAGCATCTGAGTAGCCTTCCTATGCTCTCTTGTTGCCAAAGTTAAAAGATGAGCTTCTCTGGGATTTTTGGAGGACTGATGTTGGACTCTTAAGAATTACCCTCTCAAAATGTTTATACTTTGCCATAAACTATAGAGAAAATTATTAAATTGGGAACATAAAATCAGACTGCATGTGTGCACTTGTTTGTAAGCAGGTTTTTTCTGCTACATTGCTATGGACAATGTTATCCTTCTAGATGTGGGACAAAATCCCATGGCGTCATGCAGCATTGGCTTGTGCAAGAACATAATGTGGTGCCAGAGCTGCAACTATGATGCCTAGAATGGAAGGGAATGAAAATTCATTCATGATACAATGGTTTTGAGAATGTAATACTGCCTTTTGCTGTTATGACCTGCTTTCATTTTAATGGTATTTCAAACCAAGTGTATTAAATATAAACAAAGCAGCAGTGTTGAGTTGCAATACATTATGGTCTTAGAATACAGGAAAAGAATCATTAATGGTTTCATATTTTGACAGTTAAAGCAGATGGAGTCTCCCGTTACATATATTAATCCAATCTGGATGTTTATACTAGGTCATTTCATCAACCTGGTATGTACAAGCTAGATTCTCTGTCTTTCTTTCCAACAGAGTTAGAGAGTTTATTTAATGAGGCCCAATTTGTTATAATTGAATTCTAATGAATTTTGAACTTGGAACTCTCTTGTTTGTTCTTTCAGCAATTCAGTCATGTCTGCAATGCAGCAACATTATCTAGGTTGCCTGTGCAACCCACTAAATGAGCAAGGCAAGGGATGTTTAGAATTATTCTTTTAAATTTCTTTTTACATGCTGTGGTTACTGGCTCAGCTTGACCTTGATGTAAAGAACCACAAGACTCATTTGCCCCTCTGGTGAAACTAAAGCCTTATGGCTCTTGTTAGAAAGCATCTGAGTCTTTGCCCCCTCCAGCTGTGTGCATTTGAATTCAGTGGACACATATAGCTGCAAGGCTGAGCTGCACTACCTGTTCTAATGCATGCAGGTCCCTCCTGAGCAAACTATTATTAGGGCAGAATTTTGACATATGAAATAATGAGGTTATCTGAATGTTGTGATTTCCTGTAGAGGTCAGGACTTGGTGACTCAAGTCATTGCCATTCCAAATATATGACAATAAATATAACTGTTTACTGCTTTATAGAGACCCACTTAGTCTGACAGTAAAAATAATTATATTTCTTTGACTGGCCTAGACATCCCACAAGACTGCAGTAGACCAAATCTTAAAAAATATTACACAACAAGTCAGGGGAAAATCTCATTATCACCTTATCCATAGCAAATTGGGTATGGATCGCATGTTTCAAAAGCAAGATTAATTCTACCAAGATCTTCCCTGACACATATTTATCAAACGTGACTTCAAAACTAAATTCTACAACACTACTTAGTGATCTATACTGTAATGTACCACTGTCCTTATCTTCAGGAAGTTTTCAGCCCTATTGAACTTCCTGTCATTTACCGTATTTATATTTTCTCTGTAAGGACAGCAATCGGTGGGTACATTATTCTTTCTCTAATTCTCCTATCAGTGACTGCATGGTATCACTAACAAACCCAGACAGATGCTGAGTCCTCGCATATTGGAAACCTGAATTCAATCATGGAAAAATGACAGCAATAGAACATAAAGCCTCATATCTGTTAGCAAAAGATGAAGCAAACCCTTGAAATAGACTTATCAGCATACGTACTCTAATGATATAATAATCATAATTATTATTAATTATTAAAGGATAATTATTGTTGCTGCTGGGCTGTTATAGTTGCTATTGTTATTACTGTCACTAAATGCTTTCCTGGTCTCATCTAGAAGCAAATAAATATTTTAGAAAGAATGAATTTCAGATGAAAAAGCATGGCTACATCCAATAAAAGGTACCCTACAAGAGGAAAGAGTAATGAAAATGCTATTTTTAATCTATCAGTCAGTGAGATATTTACCTTCTCTTGGCTCAGGCTTCAACACATGCCAGGTTGTCTGACATGGAAATCTGCCTGATTCATGCAAAGCTGTCTCATGGTTCTGAAGACATCCAGGTAATCAGGACTCTCTTGTATTTGCATACAAGACCCCACTCTTTTACCCTGTGACACTGTACAGAGCTAAGCCCACAGTATTCAATTACCAATATTTTTATCTAACACAGCTGCTAAGCAAAGCTTGGTACATGCCTTTCCTCACAGATATACTGATAAAATTTGCTCTAGATTTGTCACTCTTTAGAACCTTAGTGGAGATGCATAAATTAGGAGGCAAATCAGACTAAAATCCCTGTGTGGGAGAGAGTGGAGAGAGAAAAATCTCTTTATTGGGACCAATATGATCAAACCAAATCTTTGGGGATGCCTGTTTTTCTGCCCTGACTATAAAGAAAGCTGAGAGTGACTATGCCCATCGTTTGGTACTTCATCTAAGGTGAATCTGGGTTGAAGGGGTTTGTCAAACCACTAAATGAGCAAGGCAAGGGATGTTTAGAATTATTCTTTTAAATTTCTTTTTACATGCTGTGGTTACTGGCTCAGCTTGACCTGCTCCATTCTTTATTTGAAGATATTTTCTGGGTTTTTTGATACTTCTCATTTTTTTTAGTAATCTAATTAATGGGAGAACTGTGAGATGAGGAATTTAATATCTATAAGCATTACCTGGATTGACAGTCTTTAAGAAAGTATATCAGTGTGTCAGAAAATTACAAATGGTCCTCAAAAGGTAGATATATTGAACAGAAAGCAAAAGGGTTGTAAAAATAAATGATACTCATGAGGGAGAAATAATTAGATATTTCAGAAATACATAGTTTAAGCATCAGGTTGAATTTCCTGAAGCTGTGGTACTTTTCTTTTTATATTTAAATCATAGCTGGTTTATAAACATATTAGTTAGCAAGTCTTGTAACAAGGTTAATAATTCATGAATCATCTTTTCCTGTGTAATATTCCCTGGTTCCTTATAAGCTTACAATATTGATGATGGCTCCAAGAAAATTAATCAGAATGGATGCAAATATGATGACATTCCTGGCCAAGTAGGTCTCATTAATCCAGCAGCAAGTTTTCCGGAGCATTAAGGGTAAACATTTGTAATCCTCTGCCGTAGTGATTAGCACAAGAGCGGAGTGCAGCATAATCAGAATAGAAAACTGAATGACCATTGGTATTACCCTGTGAAGAAAAAAAGAAAGAGAAGCCAGCATTAAATCTCAACACAATACCACTGCTAATAAAAATAAATGTGCAAACAGCTAAGACTAGGAAAAATCTGTCATCACAAATCTGAGAATATTAGTCTAGGAAAAAACCCAGAGAAAGAAAATATTTGTTCATGTTCCACAGGTCTGCCATTGCTTCACACGGTTTCTTGCTGAGAAACTGCTGTGGAATAAATAAGCCAGGGAAATCATTGCCAGTGCTGCTGCCTGCTTGTATAAAGTCTGAGTGGCAGGAATGTCCTTTCTTTTGGGACTCAGGTGTCCCTTACGTTTCTTTCAGAGCAAATCTATTCAGCCTGTAGGATCCTGCTGCCTCTTATGCATGAGCTGGTTCCCACTCTTGTAAGCTAGTCTGGGGACGTTGAGTAGAGTGATATTTCGTATACAGCACAACACAGGTGTCAAACTCACACTTTACTGAGGGTCGCAGACTCTACAGTGAGTGCAATAATGCAGCCTGTTTTCTGGAGTAAGTCAGGGAACAATAATTACAGAAATGCAAGATTCCCCTCATTTTAATCAATAGTGGATCAGCTGCAGCAAAGAATCTCACTGGTTTCTAAAAAAGCAAAAAAAAATTATCTACTGTTTTCATGGAAGTCCTTTAAAATATAAAGCAGATGAAAAGGTGTTCTATGATCTAAACATGTTTAAGTAAAACATGTCATTTGGCATACTCCATAAACATTTGTTCTTGCAAATGTGATCCTTAATGAAGTTTTGTACACAGAACAGACAGTTCAAGTCCTTTGAATAAACCGTTAAAAACCAATTTCTTCTAGTCCAACTTTCATTATATTTTTCTAAATTTATTCCTTTTTCTTGCTTAAATCTGGGATCTGAAGTCAGTCAAGTAACCAATGTGGTTGGGAAATGTGGTAAATTGTTTTACTTTTCTGAGAAGAAAGCACTCAGCACTTCAAAAGTCAAGATTTTTTGTCCCCGTTTGTGCCAGTCATTGTCTTTCTGTATTTCCTTTCCCAAAGATCAAACCCATGCAAAATGTTCCTGCAAACATCTCCCCTCTTCAATCTGTTTTCCCTTCCCTTTTTGCTATAAAGAGAATGATTAAACTTGAAGCTTTGAATTAAGTAATTAAAAATTTCTAGTAACATAGTTGTATACATGCCACTACACTGCAGTGATTTAATCATAATGTCACACAGAAAAAACTCTTTGAAAGTGCATTATCAGGGTGCTCCGGGGAGAATTCTGCACTTTCAGGTGGCTGAATGCAGGTAAGTTGTACTCTGCTCATTCAGCCTTCTATAAACATATGTTTTCTCTTACTGAAATCATCAAGTTTCAGATTTTGCTACATGTCACCTATCCCTCTTCTCTTTGGGTAGGGTGCAATGCTACATGTACACCTGTGTCCTATAGCAAGACAAATTTTAGGGTGTAAGGTAGAAATAGAAGTGAAAACAACAACATAGCTTTTCTTTCCTTGTTTTTCAGTAGATCAGCCAGATCTACTCCCTGAATCTGAATGGACTATATCTTAACCTACTGGAAATTCTCCTCAATTTCAGGCCATTCAGATTTGGCTTTAGAAGGGCAAATTCCAAACTCATACAGATCTGAATTCAGATCTGTGGTTTGAGCCTATTAACATAACTGAAACTTTCACTCTAGAAAGTTTCACCATAGCTAATAAGTATACAGCCAATGAGAAGAGGAAATCAGTCTGAGATAATGGCAGGAGAGGATACATGGAAATAGTAGGACAAGCTTGAGAATCATTCTGTGTTGGAATTGGCATTTCTTAGCTCTGGCCATGTTTTCAGCTGATGGATAAATGTCAAAAATCTTTTTACTGAGGAGACACCAAAGATGTACTGGGTAGTTTATGTGAAAATTGTGAGTACATTTTCCTCACAGTACTGATGCTTGTAGAAAATACTTTGAGAAGCAGGATAAATGAAAATGTTTATGTTCATAAGGAAATATGAGTTTGTTTTTTTTTTTTTAAAAAAAAGGCCATAAATCAGAATATATGTGGGGAAATGTTGGTCATGTTGAAGGGAAAGACATTAACATATGAGGTACAGGTGTTAAACTGAAAGAGATTTAAGTGCAGAACTGTACTCCTGTATGCTTTAGCCTGATTAATTTTAAATATTATCTTTTACAAGAATGTTTTGATTTTTAATACCCTAATTCAGCTGTGATGATATTGATCGATATACATTAAATCTGATAGTGTTTTAAAGACAATATTTTCACAGAATCACAGAATCACAGAATGGCAAGGGTTGGAAGGGACCTCCGGAGATCATCCAGTCCAACCCTCCTGCTAAAGCAGGGTCACCTAGAACATGTTACACAGGACATCGTCCAGGTGGGCTTTGAATATCTCCAGAGAACGAGACTCCACACCCCTCCTTGGGCAGCCTGTTCCCAGTGCTCTGTCACACTCGAAGTGAAGAAGTTTTTACTCATATTCAACTGAAACCTCTTATGCTTCAGTTTGTGCCCATTGCCCCTTGTCCTGTCACAGGGCACGACTGTGAAGAGTCTGGCTCCGTCATCGTGACATCCACCCAAAGATATTTGTATGTGTTGATGAGGTCCCCTCTCAGTCTTCTCTTCTTCAGGCTAAACAAGCCCAACTCTCTCAGCCTTTCCTCATAGGGGAGATGCTCCTGTCCCCTCCTCATCCTTGTTGCTCTCCTCTGAACTCTTTCTAGGAGTTCCTCATCTTTCTTGAACCGGGGAACCCAGAACTGGACACAGTACTCCAGGTGGGGTCTCACCAGGGCAGAGTAGAGGGGGAGGAGAACCTCCCTCGCCCTGCTGGCCACACTCCTCTTAATGCACCCCAGGATACCATTGGCCTTCTTGGCAACAAGGGCACACTGCTGGCTCATGGTGAGCTTGTCGTCCACCAGGACTCCCAGGTCTGATCATCCAAGCAGACTTGCTGGGACAATGACTCCTTTAAAGTATCAGGACAGAATAACATGTAATTTTCTTCAAACTTTCTTGTCTAACAGCTACTAAAATTAATCAAACTAACAAAGAAGTATGATCAATGTGTAAGAATTTGAAAACAGCATGCAAACCTCAGAATAATTTACAGAAAAATGCAGCTATGGCTTATATGTACAGCTCCTGCTCTCAGAACTTCAAGATTAATGAGACTTGCATTGTAGGAGTCCAGGAAATAAAATGGGATAAACAGATAACAAACAGAAAACAAGGCTGTAGTTAGCAGAGAATTTTTTTCTTTTGGAATATGTCTGAACTGCTATAAGTAAGATATATATATATAAGTGATTTTTTGTAGTACTAAATTATATTACAAGACATTTTGATATAAAGTGTGAAAAATATCAAAATGGAAGTTCTGTTCCCCAATGAACTAAGATAAGATGAATTACACATTAACCTTCTTTGAGAGTTTCCATGTGGTAATATTAGCTTTGACACTGTTTCGATGACATATCATTGGTACAAAATGTTACCTTATACTTGGGTCAGCATTTCACTCCAACAAGCTTTGTCAGAGTTTTGTGTGTGACTTGAATGCAGGACACAGGAGAAGGTTACCAAAAGAGTCCTGTCCTCTCCATCAAGTTCACTCAGAAGGAAAGCTTGCTTTTGAAAGAAGGAACAACATAGCCAGTAAAACCAAACTATATTATGAAGGGAAGAGTAGGAATAATGAGGAAACAAAGACTGGAGCAGGAGCAACAGATTTCATCCTGTGTGCCTAAAAGTTTTGTGGGAAGAGTCTTGTGACTTGCTGAAAGTCCCAAGGTTACCAAGTAGGACACAATGCAATGATGCCTTGATAGCAGGTGAAAAGCACCTTGAGATCCACTGATTGACCTGTTCTCCAGTGGCTATACTTTGAACCTGGGATAGAGACACTGACAGATAGGTGAGATTAATTCCTTCATTTTCCCACATTACAGCGGTGTTCTGCAATAGTCTTCTTGCTTTTCAAAGCCAAATGACTGAGATCCTCTTTGAAACTGATAGTTTCTATTTATATCTCAGATATATAAAGGCAGTCTATATATGCAGATGTAGCCTACAAATTCTGCAGACCTAGCCTGACCCAGCTCTAAATTAAAGCTTTCAAAAAGATTAGGGTCAAGCCTCAAGAGGTCAGACCTGAGGACACTAAGCATGAGTTCTTATTTTGGACTGCCGAACTCTACACATAAGATCCAGTGCTATTGAATTAAGGTACTATAAAGGGAGCATCTAGGGACCTAAGTCTGGGATAACAATCCAAAATGAAGCATAACCTGTTTAGGTGCCTGAGAAACCATAGCCTTCTATTTGTCTGTAATAAATATATAGGCAACAAAATGTCTTCCACTGTAGCTGTTTGGTTGAACATTGATGTGTTTGTCTCTTGTCCAAAACTGCTTGAGATAAAAACAAAACTGAATTCTGCACACCTATGACCTCCTAAAAGATAAATCCAGTATCTGTGTTAAGATTTTGTTGGCAGCATGCTGATAGGATCAAGTACAGCAGAAGACATAGCCAAGGTTAGAGGAATAGGAACAAACAGCCATAATACTCTCCCATCCGTTAGCTTCTTCTGGAACTAGGACACCTAGTTGTGAGATCCCTTCTTCATTCAAGACAAAATGCTTTTCTTTCTAGGGGTTCCTTTACTGCCAAGATCAGGGGGAGTTTGAAATGGAGCTTTTGCCTTCCATCTTCCTTGTGTACAGTCGCAAATCAAGAGTTGAGCTAGAAGGAAAACTTACGTAAAACAGAAGACGCAGATGTTTAAATGAACAACAATTTGAAATCTGTTTTTCCCCCCTCACAAGAATAAGCCAGTGAAAAACTGAAAGAAATAAGAGCAGTTCAGCAGTCTATGCTAGTATGATCTATTGCCCGTGTGAGCATATAGAAAGTTTATTACAGGAAATGAATCAAACTCCCAGGCTTCTTGGACGGAGATGAATCACTGCAAGGTTGGCAATGTAACTTAATGGCTTCACAGAGGATAATTACAGCAGAAATATGGCATTAATTTATGTCACTTAGAGTAATTTCCCCAACTCAATATTTCAAAGAATGAAAACTATTGCAAATATTTTTAAATTCAGTGATGTGCCTGCCCTGTCAGGCAAAAGTATGAATGGATCAAATATTTATCCTGCAGGAGACAGATATAAACTGAGATAAAACTGTGAAACTCCCGCACACAGTAGAAAGTATAATAGAAAGATGATTTCCTTTTTTAACACAGAGACTAAGGCAACCTATCTGGGAAACTCCCTGAAGATACTTAGTAAGATATGTTTTACAATGATTTAAATAATGTTTTATTTCACTGAATTTCCAGAAATCCCCAAAAGACTCATCTCAGAAAAATATTCAAATGTGTACTTAAGCAAATATAAAATTCCGTCCTTGTACAACAGAGCTCTGAAGCATCCACTGAAAGACACTTAAATGTGTTGTTAGGTAATAGGTAAGTTACAATGAGTAGTGTGAATTATAGTTTGTTAGTTGTTCCACAGAAATTATGTCCATGCTTTCCACTGTGGTAGTTTACTTCTCTGATATCTACTACAGATATAACACATGAGCATGCAGTTATCTGCAAGACTCTCTGAATCCAAGTCCTGCCTAACTTTGTGGTAGCCTGTTTATGTGCTGGAACTTAGGAAATTTAAACTTCCAGATTATTTCCTCATTCAGTATGTTTAAACATATTGAAACCTTCTTACTCAAAATCCCTCATCCTGTTATTTTAGTGTCTCTCAGCTGTTGACTTTCTCATTTAACAGGAATGCTTTTTTAAGACTGAAACACGATTTTGAAGCAGAGTATCAGAACTTGAAAAAGAAGACCAAAATTTGCTGTATTAAATCTTGCAGTGATCTACTGCTCCTGAAAGAACATAAGAACTGCCATAAAACACCCAAGTGGCTCCAAAACTTCTCTTTCAAAAGTGACACCCTAAACATCTTTCCAGGTTCCAGCAATCAATCTTTTAGGTCATTCTTGAGGCCAAGGTTCCATAATTTTGTTTAAAAACCTCTGCTGATCTTCTCTTGTAGGAATTTATCTAGTCTTTATTTGAACATATTTATATTTACAGCTTCTTTAACATTCATTGTCAAAAAGGTCCACAAAGCATTTGTGAAGTGCAGGGAAAAACACAAGACTACTGTTCAAGATGGGAAACAGAAAGTGAGACAGCTGCAAGCAATGTGGTTATGTGACTCCTTCTCCCCTAATTCCAATGGCACCAGACACCCTCATGAGAATTAACGGAGATGAATCTGTGCAGATAGAAAAAATGTAATGTTTTTTTGCTGGTATGGCAATGATTGATATAGCAGCAGAAATCTTTTTGGAAAGCAGGTTCCATTAATAAGATCCATAAATCTTCTTGTACATACTGAGAAAAAAATAAAAATAACAGCTACCAGAAGTGAAGAATTTTGAATGTGTGTTGGGAGAAGAACTTTAAAAAAGCAAACAAACTTACTAGTATTAGAACAATATAGCACATAAGGAACAGCAGAAGGTCACGTACTACTGTGAGTACTTTCCCAGCTGAGAACTACAAAATAACATGGGACACCACTGCGGCAGAGTGCAGTTGCCTGCCTGCATCTAACCACCATTTTGGTATTCTTAGACATAAACATGTTGAACTGGGTCTTCCAGAGATGTTTCAAGAAATAGTGCTGCATTACTGTACCACAATAAATGTCTTATTTCTTATACAAATACTGTATTTTCAAGGTTATTCTACAGAGAGCCATAAGTTAAGGTTCATCTGAGTGTTAGAAATCACCTGAGAACTATGTTCATCTGAGCATTTCCATTTTAGCACTTGCTCTGCCAAAGACCAAATGGGACCAGGGGCATCTTTTAACGGCAGTCATGCTCTGCTGGCTCTGCTATGATGCTTGGAAACTGGCTTTAGTCCTTGTACACACTCTAGCGTTCTCACTATTAAATAGTAGACACAAATGTCAATTGATGGGTTGGACTCTGTGAAACGTGTGGACACGGAGGTCTCAGCTAAGTTACATTTTCATCACCTTGATAGGAAGTTTTGGCTAGGTCAGCCCCAGGTAACAGCAGAAGTGAGAAAAGTTCTACCAGATCACCTCCTTGCTGATTCTTAATGGCACAAGACTGCTTTCTGCAGCTGGGTAATATGTATCATCAGCAACCAAGCACAGCAGTACAATTGTCTTATGTAGCATGTATAAAGCAAAACCAAACCAGTCACGGATTCCTAAGGTGATTACCAGTCAGCAAAGAAGCACTGTTATACGTCTGGATCATGTTTTACTTCAGAACTGGAAGCAGCAGGCCACATCGTGTCAAACTTTTGTAACCACAAGTTCCCCACTTATCTCAGTGGGTGTTCTGCTTAAAAACATAACAACATAATGTCAGCAGATGCTGCTGTCTCACATGAAAACAGGTAGCTGCAGCTAATGTGATACAAAAGCAGCTATTATTGGGAAAAAAAAGTGGAAAAATATTTCCAAGCATTTTGGGGGAACAAGCAGATTTTATTGGTTCATTCCATGTCAGTCCTAGAACTGTTATCCCACTATTTCCCAAGAGCACCATCCGATACATAGAGATATATTTCTGTATTTACCTGGAAGAAGGAAGTAAGCTTTGGATAGCGGTGATAAATACAAGAACAATAAATGCACACACCAAGTTTGATTTGAATACTTCATCCCGCATTTGTGAATACTAGAATAAAAAAAACAACAGAAGGTAAATTAGCTGTTAACCCATGCAGTAGTTTCATAAAGACTGATGCTTATAGGACTTTGGGGAAATTAGCAGGAAGAGCTAATAAATCAATAAACCTGAATTTGTTTTTAAAAATGAAACACAACAAATAAATCATTAATAAGCTGGTAAAATACTTTATCCAAGAGAGTAAAACTCCATAATTTGCAATACAAAGTTGTTTTACCTGGTTGCCTCTTTTTCAAAATTATTTGCTTTAAAAATCCCCAGGTAGATAGTAGGGGCTTGTGCTGCTGAGTAGAATAGTAAATACTTAATAGCTTAACCAGAGGAACCATGGGTTTCCTCACCTGAAGAGAAACACTGAAGTCAGCTGTGACTCTGCATGTACGATGTCACGGAGGTGTCTTCATGCTTGCCAAATTTAGGCCATTCTATTTTTTCTTTTACTTTTCTTTTTTAAGAAAAGTACAAAGTTTGGGACATTCTGTGACTATTTGGGATGTGTGTCATGATCTCCATATCCTAACTTGTGAGGAGCCTGTGCAGAAACTTGGCAATATGGGCATTCTCCAAGGAGAAAATGAAGGTATTAGTATTTAAGAGACCATCTGAGGTGCATTATTATCATGGTTTATTATGCAAGTATCTTTCTCCAGCATATCAAATCACTGAAAATGTTATCAGGTTCCCCTTTTGTGGGAGTCACCAAGAAAAGGAGTAAGGGATACGTCAGTGAATCACAGTGGATCAGTTAAAGTGGAAACTTTAGCCCAGACCTCAGTCAGTATTTATCACTGCTAATGCAGTTAAATGCCAATTGTTTACAGCAGATGAAGATTGGTCCATAGTCATATTTTGGAAATCTCTTTATTCTATACTGATGCCACCACATTTTCTTCACCTAATTAAAAAGTCACATAGATACTTGCCCTGGTCATTTTTTCCTCCTCTGAACAATAGCTCCATTTTATTCAATCTCTTGCATTTTTGGAGGAGTTAAGAGTTACATGTGCAGAACAAAAGGAAATCAGAATCAAAGAGATATCAGATATCAGAATCTTTCTCCAGCAATTTGGAAATAAGGCAGTCATAAATGCCTATAGAACATTATAATTGAAAAAAAAATTAAAACTAATTAAGAAATGTATCAGGAACATACACTGAAAGAGTTCAGCTGTGAACTGCTTTTTATAGCTAACAGCTCTTGAAGGAAGATCCTATCTAGACTTAGATTATATTCACTACATGGACCTTTGGTAGGGCCTTCATCTCAGTTATAAACATCTGGTCAAAACAGTCTCAAGCTCCTGAAATCGGCAAAAGTCTTCTCTTTTCCCTACTCCCATTTGTTAAAGATGGGGGTTATTCTTGGTGTCCCTTATTTTGACTCTTCCTCTGCTGTGATTATGCCCCGTGTCTTCTCTTGGCAGAAGCAGTATTACTTTGACATAATTTTTTATGGTGCTCGCAGGTAACTCCATTTTGCTGCTGGAAGCACAGAAGCACTGGCCCTGATTTCATGTGCAGGAAAACAAAACTGCATCAGTCTGCTTAAACAATGGACCACAGATTTTTTTGGTTGAGGGACAAAAAGAACCAAAGGGAAAAAGGAAGGTACATTCCTTAAAATATAACATGAAATCCCAGCTGTTCCTTAGGGAAATTATAGCAAACTAATTGAATGAAACACAAATACGGAATTGCCTGCTGTGTCAAGCATTATGTGAAAAGGATGAATACTGTGGTCTAATCAGCAACAATGTTGTGATGAGAAATTGCTAGCATCTCTGAGGCGGCACAAACATCAATGATTAAGTAGCACTTCTGTAGCAGTCTACCCCTTACTGACTTGGAGAAGTTATGGAAGGATAGAAGAAGCCTCAAGACACTGCCATAAGTGTGGGGAGGCACATAGCTAACTAGAGCTGTGTAGAGTGGTAGAAGAATTGTAATGTGGCCTACTCTGCAATGAAAACCTTAGCTGCAATATCCCACAGACCTACCCGCACTGGCACGACTTGCTCATGGAGTAGCAAAGGCTCACCTTGCTTCCCATGGGACTTGAGCCATTTGCCTGCGCTGTCGTGGGAGCACTGTTTATCTACTGGCTAGCCCAGCCAGCTAGCTGAAACTGAGCTTGCATAAGCAAACCCACGTTTCCTCTGCCAAGTAATGCTGTTTATTCCCCACCTCTCCTCTCTTTTCCCAGAGCTCTTTGAAAGAGGTGTACTGCTAATACAACAGGCTTTACATGTTCACCTAGAGAAAGTGTTTGTGCACTGGGGGAGGTTTTTGGTCTTATCCTCGCTGCTGCCCTTTGACTCAGATAGGACCTTATGAATGAAAAGGGAGTCCATAGTTTTTTTCTTCGGAGCAATGGGCTTGTGCCACTGGAAAAGCTTCTGCAGTACAGGGGAGGGACAGAAGAAGACATATCAGGAAGCCCAAGCCAGGAGAAGAGATAGATGAACTCCTGAGAAGACCAAAGAGTAGACACAGATCCAGTTGTTGATGAATGACAGAAAAGAAGATGCTGAACAGGCCCAGATTTTGCTCAGAATTTCTTGCAGACCTTCTTGCCATTGGAAGTTTCTGGGTTGAAGGAAAGAGGCAGGCCCATGTCTGCAAGGATACAACATGCAGGAAGGGCAATTTTTTTTCCTACTCATTAAATTTCTATTTATCTCACCTATGAGAAATTCTGAAACAGAGAAACTCCGATACTTAGGTCTAATATTTGACCTAAGAAAACCTGTACTGTGAAATTCAAAGCTCTTTTGATATTTTCAGTGTGCTCACCTCACAGAAAATTTGTAGACATTTCACCTCTAAGCCCAGTCTGATTTATGATCCCAATACAAATATGCAGGAAGACTTAGAATATCTTTATACAACTCTTTACATTGGAAACTTTCCTTAACAAAATCCCTACCAGCATGTAAAATTCCCTGCCCTGTTACTATGCTTTATCCTATATGAAAGTACATGCTACTGATATCTCCAAGTCACTGCTATTAAGGTAGAGCATCATAATGATATCTTTTAATTATTGGGAATAATATAAAGTAGTATCAGACTTTCCTTATGAGCTATTGCATATTTGAAGCCCTTAGTGTATTTTCATGCTACCATTAGAAGCACTCTCCTGTGATGAGTTTTTTGCTCTATCTGCTTATATCCTATTTGTGAAAATAACCTCTAGCAAAACTGAGAGTGAATTAGTCTCTAAATGAGATATCAAGAGCTAATGAGTGAAATACAGGTTAGTAATGACTTTTCCACTTGAGTAAAGAAACTATAAAATATACCAGGTGGGGATCCTGCACAAATCCTCTGAAAAAAGAAGTATTACAAAATTCATGGGGAAATACACATCCTGCCTCAGGGAGATAACCCTTTTGCTAATGCAACTGTTACTGCTTGCTGTGGAATCTACATTTATTCTATCACCAGGAAGGGCATGGGGCAATGAGATAAGAGAGGAGTGGGAAGATGTACCAATGGCTTAAACTGCTGTGATATACCAGTCATTTAAACCATTGTAAACCAGGAGCTGTTCTAGCTCTCATGGTAGTTTTAGGCATGCTGATTCCAGAAATTACTTTTTTTTTTTAACCTTTTGAAACCTTAAAGGAAGCAAACCAGCACTTTCATCGCTAGCATAAATCTGCTGTCTGCAATTGTTTTACAATGACAAAAAAACCCCAAAACAACCCAGACTATTTAAACAGAAGTCCAGCGTGACATTTCAGATCTATTCAAGTCACCCCAAAAGATTTTTGATCTCATGGCATGGTAATCCTCTTACTAATGCAGGAGGAAGAAACGTAGTTCACTGTTCATATGGTTACTCACTTCTCTGATGTTTGAGGTACAGAGCATTAACGCATTGAACAAGATTAATGTAACAGGATCTCACCTATGGGTACTGATTGTTTTGCCTACTGAATAACTGTAAAGTTGAGAAGTACTTACAGGTAAAAGAAATAAGAATTAGGCAGATGCCAGTGCTGCCTGAAAGTGTGATGGCTAAATGTGAGGGCTCAAGATTTTACATAGCAGAAGTTACTTTACTTCAGAGCTATCTCTGACTTGAAGTTGCCACTGGTCTGAATAGAAGGTGAGTGGCAGCAAATGAAAATGGTGGTGTGAGATGTGAGGTCCATAGTCATATATTGTCTACTTGCTCAGCAACACTGCAGGGAGCAGCTCAAGATGATGATGTAGAAGGTCATGTAAGCAGCTGCAAAATGTTAATGACTAGAAGAAAGCATAATTCCAGACAGAAAGGTTAGGGGTGGGGAGAGCAGAGGGAAAAAGCTTCTGAAATAGCTTTATGAGACGTCCAATTTAAGTTTGAACTTGTTTTGTCTTGCTTCCTAAATGTGCAAGAAGAAGGGAGAAAGTCATAGTAATATAAGAGAACATGGAGGAACTAGCTACTTACTGTAGCAAAACAGTTCACACATTATTTTTTTTATGACTGCCTGTAGACTATGGCTTAACACTAAGGCTACCAGGACAAACCTGTAATTACTGCACCAACAAACAAGGAGAGAAGGGTCATTTGCCACCTTGTCCCACAAGACATTGCCCCCACCTATAATGAAGAGGACATTGTGATTCATCTTTCCTTAATCCACATCATCCCTTTGCATCCTGGCGCATTCCCCATCTTTCTCTGAGCACACATATGGTGCCCCAGCACCCTGAATGCAAGCAAAGAGGTTGCTGACCAGCATCTATCCAGCTGTTGGAGGTGGAGGAACCAGAGCAAGTAAAAGAGTGCTGCTATTTTTTAAAACTGTACTCCTGTGGAGTGCTAAAACCCAGCCAGATTTAGAGGACAGAAAGAAGATCCAGTCCACTTTATGGAAAGGATTTTGTGTTTGTATTGACTGTGCTTACTAGTTGAGACTAACATCTAAGGAAATATTGAATGAAAGCATGATTTTCTAAGTGTTGCAGCACATGTTGGCATTGGGAATGTCATA